TTAAACAGGAATATAGGTGTTGATCCTGCTGTGTGTTTCGTACCGATTGTTTGCAATTTTCTGGAAGTTTTTTCCATCAAACTTCCTGGTCTACCTCCCCGCGAGTCGTGGAATTTCTAATTGAACTGCTATCTGAAATCCAACCGATCTCGAAGCCCGTCTATCGTATGAGTTGTTCTGAGCTAGCAGAGTTAGAAAATTGTTTTTCCGAACTGATTGCCCGGAAGTTTATCCGCCCTAGTTATTCTTCTTAGGGCACTCCAATATTGTTCGTGAAAAAGGAGGATGGTTTACTCAGACTTTGCGTGAATTACCAGGAACTTAATCGAGTAACGGTTAAAAGTAAGTACTCTTTACCTCGAATCGATGACCTCTTTGACTAATTGCAAGGAGGTACGGTCTTCTTCAATATCGATCTCAGAAGGGATATCACCAGCTGAGAGTCAAAGAGGAAGATATTCCGAAGACTGCTTTCTGGTGTAGGTACAGTTTGTACGAGTTCAGATTAATGCCGTTCGGGTTAACCGATACTCCTGCAGCCTTCATGGACCTTATGAGTAGAGTCTTCTGGCACGCACTAGATCAGTACGTCATCGTATTTATTAACGATATCTTAGTATACTCTAAGAGCCTGGAGGAATATGTAGTACACTTGTTTGAAGTGTTGGAGACCTTTCGCCGGAAACAACTGTATGTTAAACTTAGCAAATGTTCCTTCTAGTTGGATCGCGTTTTCTTTCTCGGTCATGTAATTTCAAATGAAGGAGTTTTTGTGGATCCATCTAAGGTTGAAACAGTAATCAACTGGAATCTACCCACCAATGTGGTCAAAGTACGTAGTTTCCTTGGTTTGACAGGTTACTATCGGTGATTCATCGACGGATTTTCTAAAATTGCTGCTCTATTGACTCGACTCACCCGAAAGGGCGTGTCATTTGTCTAGAATCATGAATGTGGTGAAAAATTTATGGAATTGAAGCGTCGTCTTACCTCTGCTCTGGTATTAATTCTCCCTGATAACACTAGAAGGTTTCAGGTCTACTGCGATGCATCTTATATTGACTTAAGGTGCATTTTGATGCAGTATGGTAGAGTGGTCGTTTATGGATCCCGACAGTTGAAATCGCATGAACAAAATTACTATACTCACAACCTGGAATTGGCAGCCATTATCTTTACTCTGAGAATATGGTGTCATTACCTGTTTGGTCAAACTTTCGAGATTTACACCACACTGCGCGCGACAGGCGCAGGACGTGCGCACAGTGCGCACGTCCCATCGCACACAGAGCGGAGGACAGGCTTGCGTGTGCGTCTTGTCACACGCAGGTAGGACCCGTCTGCGCGTGTCACATCGTGCGCGGACAGGCAGGCACCGCACACTATGTGCAAGCGCGGCGCCCCAGCGCGCAAGCCAGCTCCTCCACGATTGCCCGGCACCTGCAGGCTAGGCCTGCAACGCGCGCCAGGTGAGTGAGGCACATGCTGCCTCAGGTAGTGTGCCACCGCCCACCTTGGGCAGCATGCCGCCGCTTGTGTTGCCGCCGCCAATGGAGGAAGTCTTTCTCCTCCGTTTTTCGTGCCAAACATCTTTTTACTCTCTCTCTCCCTTAGATTTCGCCACTTGGCGCAAATCCTACAACTCCAGTTTTCTATAAATAGGGGTCCTTCCTCCCATTTTCTCCACACTTCCATTCTTTCACCTTTCAAAAGTTAAAGAGAAAGAGAGAGAAAGAAAGTGATCTAAAGAGAGAGGGAGATGAAGAAAAGAAGAACGGTGTAGAAGAAATTATCAAGATTTCGGTGAGAAATTTAGTATTTCTTTAAACGTTTTAAGGGGTATTTTTAAACCAAAAAAAATATTAAATTGATAATTTTGTGATTTTACCTGTTTTGCATGCTTTGTGTTTGTAGACTTAATAAGTTGAATTGTTCTTGATTTCAAGCATACTATGTGAGTGATAAACATTTGATAATTTACATGTAATTAAAATAATATGAAACCGATAAGATTATCTGAAAAATAAAAATAACAAAAAAAAGAAAGAAAAAAATGAAATGAAGCATGAATTGTTCGAAGTATGTATCTATATTGACATGCATAACGCATCAAGTGTCTCGTTGAAGTTTTTATCTTTGAGGGGTATCTGTTCTCCTATCCTAATCCGGGGTATCTGTTTTCTCCCTCCCTCATCTGATCTGAAAATACGTAAGAGAATCGCTTTTTGTGGATGACACCGTACTCTCTGACGAGACTGGTGACGCAAATATCTGTTAGGGGTCACTTTTGATTAAGTATTGTCGTGACCATAAAATATCTGATAGGACCATTATGCTTGGTACGGCCATGATCATAGATCGTGCTATGGTTTGGCAAGCCGGAAATATGTCTGAGCAAATTACTGTTATCTGTATATGATCTTGTCATTCCACATGGGTAGTCAGAAATCTGTATCTACTTTTAGATATGGAAGTTGTAACGACTTTTCGAAGCATGATATAAAAATCTAAGCATTTCATAATTTATTTGATTTTCTCTATTGTTTGATATACTGTGTGTTTTATTTTGATTGTTGGCTATAACGTGATGTTTTTCTTTAATAAATATATTGTTTTCATAAGGCAAAATAGGTTTACAGCGTAACCAAATGGTAAGTGTTTATGTTAAAATAATTCACCTTTTAAAAGTTTACGATGTTATCTAAATACTGTTTTGTTTACTGAGCATATGAAAGTCACTCTTTCCATGTTCCCCCCAGATTAGGAAGATAATGAGAAACCATCAGCTGACCTAACCATTGAAGTTTATGAGGATCCTATAGATCCGCAAAACTTGAGTGTATGATCGTTCCCGCACTCTGACGAGTCCAATAATATAATGAAAGAAGTGGCTCTCTTTTATATTTTGACATTATATTTTGCAGCCACTTCTAGCCTCAGTTATATATATATATATATATATATATATAATTTGAACTCATATATTTGTAAGGGATTTGTATTAATTTGCTCCGCTGTATATAATTTTTATCCTGTACTCGTAATTCTGTTTCTATATCTAACACCCATATGCCTTAATTAGCATTTGAGATGTCATAGTATTCAACTTATTGTGTCTAGACT